ATGAATGATCAGTGTTCCTCAACACAGCACTGTGTCAAACAATAGGATTGGATGATTGTTATGTTATATTATGGCCACTAATTATAAATATTTAAAGCAACTAACGCCAATATTTTTATATCAGCAGTGATCAAATGACTACTTGTGTGGATGTAAAAGGGGTCAGAGAGGGTACAGTTTGTGTTTCAGCAGCTGTTGCTATAGAGAAGACTCAACAACAACAAAACTGATTTAAAAAAAGAATTCTAGCATGTTTGTATGGATGTAGATGCATTTTCGGAGTTCTGCTCAGTGTAATTCCTAGCTTCTGCTGCCATCAGCATCGCAAAGCTCAGTGACTGAATGTGTCTTAACCCCAGTGTTCACTGGGAGTTGTAGTTGAGTTCTCTCCTTCTGTTTTTTATGTACACAGTCTTGTGCCTTTTGGCCTGTTATCACTGAACTTTTAACACACAGTTTCTCATTGTTTGTTCTGAGGATTTAATTGAAAGAGTTTTGTGTCCCTTCAAGTCCCTGAGGTCCCAAACCGCGAGACAACCAACATTATCTATGAGGAAATGAATAGGGTTTTCTCTTCCAGAGCCCTGAATGCCCACGTTGCGCCTCTGTTTATGATAAAATATCATACGACGACTGAATGCACATTGAGTAGTTGAGCTTTATAAAAGGGAGAAAATGAAGTCTATATAGCAGTGGGAAGCTTCATGCCCACCAACCGTGGCTGCACAGACCAGGCCTGCTATGCTCCTGTCACATACAGTGTCAAGGAAAACAAAGTGTGAGGCTTTGAAAACTGCCCTTTGCATGAAGTGTGTATTTCCTCTTTCATTTTGCTTGGCAAGAAATTGTAGACTCCCGCCCCCCTGACTGGGCTCTGGATTATTAGCTTAAGCTCTCTAAAAATATCCCTTTGACTGTTTAAGCCTCTGACAGCAGCAACATCTCACACATTCTGATAGCTTTATACTAACTATGGCTGCAGAGGGCTCATGCACTCAGCCCGCCTTGTTATCTTTTACCTTGTTTGCCCGAGGAGGAGAAGGAGGAGAACTTACGGGCCCCCGAAATCTGCAACAGCCCTCTCTCCTTTTCGGAAATCAGACTCGGAGCGGATCATCAAAGGCGAGCATGCAATCACAGCAATCTCCGAACAAACGAGATGCTTTTTTGAGCACGAGAGGATTTTGCCCAGATGTCACTCGAAGCACTTGTCATTGTTGCGACAGCTGTAGAAGCACATGGACCGTCATTTGAAAAGCGTCTACAACAACATACCAAAACAGCACACGTCAAATGTGAAACATACACAGCCTGAAACATAAGATTTCTGAATATTAATGCTGTAAGCCCCTTAAGAAATTGTTACTTTTATTGCCTATCATTTCAGTTTTATTGGCTTCCCTCTGCAGCCCCGGTAATTGCATATTTACCACCATACAGTATTTATCATAGCAATATATTAGGTTTAGCTGAGCTTATAGTACCAAATATTTTTGATGTTAGCATTCATAGCAGCTCATAGAAATTAATAAATTCCTAAAAGGGATTACACTGTACACATGTGGCTCATAGACATCGCTTCAATTATCTTTTCTTCTAACACCCACACTCTCTCCAAAGGCTTTTCTCACAAATATTATAGCTGCTAACTAGAGAGAGACGGAGGGTGAGATAGAGGCATGTTTCGCTCAGCAGCACCGTCGTTATTCCAGCCTTCATTCATGTGTCTCTTTTTAAATGCTTTCAGATGAAATATCACTGTTTTGACAAGACATTTTCCAAGCTGCTCGTGTCCCTGTGAGATGCCTCATGCTCGCCGGTGATGAAACGTTCCTGAGGAGAAAAGTCAATATGTGGTTGTAAATAAATGAAAACAAATGTGAGACCTAAGCATTCGATAGATTGAAAAAGGTGAAGGGAGGGGGAAGGAATAGACTACTCACCTTTACTCATTATAAAACTGCTTCTTGAGTACAGCAGCTAATTGACTAGCCTCTTTGCCCCCGTGTGTGTTGAAGAAGTGGAGGGTGGGGGTGATGAATTGACATATTGCTGGCGCTGTGATGTTGATCCAAGGCAGAGAGCCATGAGGCTTTCCTCCAGGGACCAGTAACCTTATTGTTCCATGTCATCTCCTCCCCTTCTGTTTGAGGACCAGGTTGTCAACCTCTCCCCAAGGTCACGCAAATACCAGCCCCCCCTCTGCAGATAATTGGATTGTTTAGAATCATAGCATCAACTTATTGCCCCGTCTGGGGTCAGAAGTGAATTTAGTGCACGAGGTTGTCTGTCATGATTTGTGGCATCGTTCTGAACCAACGAGCAACAGCTTCTGTCACCAGTTAAAGGATCATGCCAAAGATGTTGCGTGTTTTGGCCTACATCTCTTGAACATCACAGCTATTGCAAACATTGCTGGTGCATTTTAGAGTTTTGGATGTGTTTTCCCTACTATTCCAAGAGTCCATTGATTTCCATTATTTTCTGTACAGCTTGACAGAGCTATTGGCAGACCCTAAAACATCCCAAAACACTGGTGTGTGGTTTGCTGAACATATTTAAATGCATGCTGTAGAGGTTTATTTTGTTTTGTGGTATATGTTCTTACCATTTCAGGCACCCATTGATTTCCATTAATTTCTTTACAATATGAGAAATCAATTAGCAGACCCTGAAACATTCCAAACCCACTCATATGGTACACAGTTGGCAAACATATTCAAATGCATGATGTACAGCTTCTTTTTTTTGTCCAGTGTTTTCTTACCACTCCAGGTATCCATTGGTTTCCATTTATTTCTTTAGAATTTGAGAAATCAAATAGCAGACCCTGAAACATTCTAAAACCACTCATATGGTACACATTTGCCAAACATATTCACAGGCATGATGTAAAGGTTTGTTTTAGTATAAGTTTGTTCTAGTGTATACATTTTCCTTCCATTCCAGGCATCCATTGATTTCCATTCATTTCTGAATGATATAAAAAGCAGACCTGAAATGTGTCCTCAAATACTGAGAAATAAGCTGAGAAAACCAATCACGTATAACTTTTTTTGGTGGAACTTTCTATATTTAGGGGGCAAGTTTTGGGTGCATTTTTCCCTGGCAGCTGTTGGTTTCCCTTCATTTTCATACAACATGTAAATCAAATGAAAGACTCTTGAAACTTGAAACTCTTGAGTTGTGGAATCTAGTAAATCCAGTAAATCAAACAAAAAAAAAACCAAAATGCAAATAATGCAGAATTGTACCATCGGATGTGGACTTGAGGTTCACTGTGATGGATAAAAAAAAGACCTCAAGTCTTAAGAGTTTGCTGATCATTTTCTTAATATTGTGTGAAAATCATTGGAAAGCAATGGTTCCCTAAAACAATTGGAAAAATAAATCCAAATGTCTCAAACTATAAAGCATAAATTTGGATTATATAACCCAACCAAGTTTTACAGTCTGCTGATAATTTCCTAATACTGTATGGAAATCAATAGAAATCAATGGCTGCCTGAAACAGTAGGGAAAAAAGAGTGGGGGAAAAATAAATCCAAATATCTAAAACTGCACAGCATGGACTAAGTTCAGATAACACAGACAACAGTTTTAAGAGTCTTCAAATAATTTCTTAATATTGTATGGAAATCGATGGAAACCAATGGTTCCCTGAAACAGTAACAAAAATACATCCAAATATCTGAAACAACACAACATGAATTTGGATTACACACCCTAATGCAAGTTCCAAGAGTCTGCTAATAATTTCTTTATATTATATAGAAATCAATAAAAATCAATGGCTACCTAAAAAAGTAGCAAAAATACATCCCAATATCCAAAACTATGCAACATGAATTTGGATTGCACAACTTAAGCAGATTTCAAGAGTCTACTAATAAGTTCTTAATATTGTATGGAAATCTTGAGAAATCAATGGCAACCAGAAACAGTAACAAAAATACATCCAAATGTCTAAAGCTACACAACATGAATTTGAATAATGCAACTAATGCAGGTTTAAAATGTCTGCTAATAATTTCATAATACTGTATGGAAATCAATGGAAACCAATGGCTACCTAAATCAGTGGGAAAAATACATCCAAATGTTAAAAAGTATACAACATGAATTCAGAATGCGCAACTCAAGCAGGTTTCAAGAGTCTGCTAATAATTTCCTGATATTGTATGGAAATCAATAGAAATCAGTGACCACCACAAACAGTGGGAAAAAATACATCTAAACATCTAAAACTGCACAGCATGGATTTAGATTAGATAACTCAAGTAAGTTTGAAGAGTTTGTGAATGATGTCTTAATATTGTATGGAAATCAATAGAAATCAGTGGCTACCTAAACTGTTGCAAAAATACATCCACATATGTAAAACTATTTAACATTAATTTGGATTCCACAACTTAGCAAGTTTCAAGAGTTTGCCATCCATTTCTCATAACATGCTTAAATGAATGGAAACCAATGGGTGCCTGAAATTGTAAAATATATCTCAAAATCTAAAACTACAGCATGTATTTGAGAAAGTTAAGCATCAATGTGAAGTGTACACGATTTGTAGCTTAGGAGCACAAACTTGCATAAACACTAGTGTGAGCCTTTAAAGTGCACCTGTTGGGAGACTGAAAAAAACATGGTGGGTGTTGAATGCCTGCAGTGTTGGGGAATCCCACATACCAGCACATATTCATGGTTTCAGTGGCGGTTTCATGGCTGGAGGCTGACGTGGTGTTACCTCACGCTGCAGTGGTAAGATGAGACGAAGTGGGGCAATAGATTAAATGGGTGGGCTGCACGCCTATTAAATCAGGGGTTGGCAGAGCAACACTAACTCAGGTTACTTATTCTCAGGTGACATGGCCGCACATGTGAGGAGCGGAGGCAAGCGAGATGTCTTTACTTCACGTCTGGAGTGTGACATCCTGCTCTGTTTGTGACTCTGTAATTAACTGCTCATTTGTGTGTATGTGTGTGTGTTTTTTCTTTTCTAGGAGGCGGCCACATTTGCCAAAGAGCTGGGCTTTGAGGTGAGTTGACCGGCAATTGCACACTAAACAGATCCTAAAGGTTTATTTTTGCTGATAATGAAGTTCTTTTTGGACAGTGATTGATGTGCTATTATACTCTCCAGGCCTTGCAGCAGTTGCTATGGAAACCTGGCAGTCGTCATGGTTTCTTTGTTCAGCCAGCTCTCTGTTATGACGCACTCTGCTAGGTCTGCACCCAACATCGCCTACAGATGTTATTTATTGAATTTTGAAAAGCCTCTTGGGAAGCTGAGAAGTTGGGCATGGTTTCAAGCCTTTCTCTGCAGGCTCGGGGCTCATCAGGTTGCCTGGTTAAAAAGCCTCCTCATTATCTTCATTGCACTCAGGGATGATACTGTATGTCTTCCCTTCACTGCTATGGCATTACACCACACTGGAACACACTGTAGTCTTTTAATAACCAAATTACAGCCACCTGTGGTTTTAGATTATGGAAATGAAAATTACAGTGCTTGTCTCCCCATAGAATGTGCTTTTAAAGTGGGGCTGCCTCTTACGTGTAAAATGAATGTTCCCTTGGTCTATTTTCTGCTTGCATTTTGCATATTCCTCGCGCTGCTTTTTAAATGTGAAATCAAAAACACAAATAGCCGGTGCGTGTGTGTGTTTTTCAAATGGGCTCAGGTATTTTAAGTGCCTTCTCTCTTTCAAAGGTAGAGCTGCCTTGAGTATGGCTCTGCACTGTGTGAATAATTGTCATCCAGAATCACTAACGGTGTGATCAACGTGACTGGAATAGAAATGCAATCCTGATGGCAGTGACAGGTTTAAGAGAGGAGAAGGGATGAAGGCAGGGAAAGAGGGAGGGGGCGGCTGGTAGTGATGGAGGGGGCCTCACATGAAAAAAAAAAAAACACAAAGGGCAAAGTGTAGACTCTCCTAGTAGTTACAATTCTTTGACATTTTCCATGTCAACTTGATTTGCCAGAACACTCTGAGAAATTGCATTGGATGAATGTGATTTCTCAGATAACATCAGTGGTGTGTACTGTACTTACTGCATTTCTACATGGTTGCAGTTCAAAGAGGCTCTTCACAACTGTCTTCTCTTCCTGTCACTTTCTGATGACAATTTTACTTGCCCACATGCTGCAGTTGTGCACTGACAAGTCTTCACAATATCAATATATAGAATATATATAGTTATTTTGAGAACTTTATGTAAAGCTGGAAACAGCAGACAAATTATTGATTTATTGGAGGAGGACATTAGTTTCACAGTTAGGGTTGGGTATCAGAAAAATTTCATTACAGGTACCAATACCTAGACTTCAATACCAGTTCCTGAGCGATACTTTTAGATTCCAAATTTATTAAAACCATTACAAAAAAAAGAAGATTACATTACAGCACGGTGGTGCAGTGGTTTGCAATGTCGCCTCACAGCAAGAGGGTTCCTGGTTCAAACCCAAGGTGGGGGCGCTTGGGTATTGATATGTAATACCAATTGACAGTATTTTTGGTCAGAGCCATAAAAGTATTGAAGTTCGGTGCACAGCGATGAGTACAGAATAAACCTGTTTGATACAGCTGAAATCAGTATAACTGGTATAATAAGAATATTTTTTGAACCCTAATATACAATGTGTTAAATGTGTGTAAAGTCACATGCAATAATCCAAACTACTTAGCGATAAGATTCGTGACCGATCTTGGAAGTAGTTGTTTGACAATTTTTTTGCATTAGCTAACATTTCCGGTAGCCTGGAAATCCAGACCCAAATCTAGAAAGATTTAGGGTCTGGCTATGACTAATGCAAATGGCCCAACTCGAGGGGCGGCACCAAGCGTCCATTTGAAAATATCACTGCACGCAATTGGATAACACTACGACCAATCAGAACAATACACGGGGTGACATATCCAGAGCGCTACCAGCAGAGCTAACTGGTAGATTAAAATAGTATGCAATTCGTGTACTATTGGTTTCATACTAAGATTTTAGTGTAGTGTTTAGTGTACACAGTGTACTAAATAGAATGTTTGATGGAATTTGAGACATGGTCAATCATGAAATTTGACAGCAGACTTTTGTAAAACTGTAACACAATTTGATCATATCATCAACAATATATATCTACTATAAGAAATGTACACTAAATATCTGAAAGACAGCTAACAGTAAGAAATGCAGTGTACAGGAGTGTGTCTCTATATGCAGTTTGACTCTTTTTAGGGCAGTGAGGCTCATTTATATTCAGTTAAAGTCCAGTATATTGGTCAGTGGGGCACTTTTGAGTGATGCCATCATTGGATTTTGTTGTAGTTGCTGCCCAGTTGTCAATATCTGACATGATGCACTCATAATGTATTCTGAAAGTGTCATCTTCATATTATAGATGACTAACAGAAATGACAGCAGCACCTCTTCAGTATAAATACAAGACACAAAAAAAGCTCATCCTCTCCAAAACAGCAATCAGCAGATCTGAACACAGTCGCCCTGATTGTGATCTGTTTCCTTTAAATGCTCAAAGAACTATCTACATCGCAGCTCTGATTGAATCTTTCCCTGGCAGTGTTTGTCAAACAGCCTGCGGTGGAGACGATCACTTTCTCACTGGCTTCAACACAGAAACACAATTTAACACCCTCGTGAAGCTTTTATATTTCACGCTTTGTTGATTTATGTCTGATCAATTGCCGCACAATCGTAAATATTGCCATTTGTCAGCAGTAAACTAAATTGACCGTATCATTTGTCAATTCATTTGTTTTGCACTTATTTTTCCGCATTGTTTTGCCGCAGGAACTCGTCAGGTAAGTGTTTCTGCCAGGCAAAAAGGAGCAAGTCGTGTGTGTTTGTGTGAGCGTAGCTTACCCTGCTCAACAGCCATGATGCTTACCCTACCACCTCTGGCCCTTAGAACCTTTTAGCTCCTAAACCTGAGTAGAGCGCCTTTTTTATGTCGGGGAACATAAAACCGAAGGGTGACAATGTGCCGAAGCCTTGTGCGGTTTGCATTCAGTGTCTGGAGGAGTGCTTGTGGTTACATCCAGTCACAGTGACAAATTGCCTTTTTTTTTCACCATCGCCTGCTAACAGCCTCTGTATTAACCTCACCATTAGCACTTACTTAGAGTGTTACACCCATTTTTCCTCGGCCCAGGGTCTCCCCGGACCTCTCAGGGCTGATTAAAGGACATTTGGGAGGCATTTAGAGGTGTAAAAGCTCATTGGTTTGAGTGAGCCAGTGTGGCTGGTGGTATCGGGCTGGAGCCTATCTCTCTGATTACTCCCATAACCACGGTATTTGCTCGCCCTGAAGGTGCTCGAGTGTTAGCTTTGACACAGATGCTAGAGGCATCGGCGACCCTTAATGCTAGCTCCTCAGTGTGCTGTATTATGGAAAAGCAGAGTCCACCCCACTGCGAGACGGGCGATAAAGACATTCCACCTGCTCATAGTACATCATGATGAGTTAATAATAAAGTAGCACTGACAGGTGTGGGTTTTTTTATCCCTCTCATGATCAAAGGCAAGCACTCCGGAGAGTTCTGTCGTCTCCAGGCGAGAATATCCATTCTGTGCAGATGCTGAGGAGAGATGGCCTGTTTCAGGAAGAGAATGATACAGTACACGCACCACCTATCCCTTCAGCTCAGAAGTAGCTTTATCTGACAACAGCATATCTTCACACGCTTATTTTCATCTCACTTAGGGAATATGACATTCTAATATTTTACAGCTCGCCCGTAACTGCATGGAAACATCATCGAGCACTCCTATTGATCTTTTTCGAAGCGGTTTCATAGCCCATCTGGTTTCATTATCGCTTGATCCGTCTGCTAGGATTGGGAAAAAAAATCTGACCTCTCTCAGTCACAATTGTGATCTTTGATTAACTCCTCAGAAATAGCTCTTCACGATGCATTCATTCAGTTTAACAGTGGTTTGGTGTTTTTTTACAGACAGATGACATTGGAGAGATTGCAAAGAAGACCCAAAACCTCCCCAAGGAGAATATGAAGAGGCAGCGAGTGGTGGTGTTCACCCAGGGCAAGGACGACACCGTTGCAACTGTTGGTAGGCCATGTTTGTTTTCCGTATTTGTCTGCTTATATTCCCACTTGAATACCACTCGAAGCCATCCCAACTTTGGCCCCTTTTGGACATCTTTACCCTTCACTTAAACCTCATATCTCAAAAACTGCAGAACGTAGCCTTAAATAGACGGTAGATCGCTGACTGAAGAGGGCTGAATGCTATCAGTAATTTCTTTGAAGTTAACCTGAAATATTGACACCAGATGTTAAAAAAAAGAATGCTTGCACTACATTCTGTCATTTCAGAGCATAAAAGAAGTGTGGGGGATGCAGAGAGCAGGCATTGATTTGTGAAGTACTTCTAACTTTGTCTTGGACAGACTCCAGACTGGTCCTCAGCAATTTTTAATGCTTCAACTCTTACATCCTGCCCTTTTTTTTCTTCCTGCAAAACGCTGGCAGAGTGACCTTGAGAGGAGGTTGACAACATTGGTGCTGAAATCAATCCAATTTCCTTTGATTCGGGGGCATATTTGTTAGTGGGACATTAAAAGGCAGTGTCATCATAACTGAGCAGGGGTTGCGGGTTTAAGCGGCGTGGGGAGAGACGATAGTTTCCGATTACTGCTGGGAGCCTTCGCCTTTGTTTGGAGCCACAGGGTGTCTCTCCTCGTTGCCCTTGCAGTTCAGAGTAGCTGTGCACGGGGAGAGATGGCCTCAGGTAAAGACTCCAACATATCACTCATCACTGGGGACTGCAGAGAGGCACAGTTACAGCAGGACTATAGGACACTGTCTTCACATGTGTACAGTGTCCTCAATTTCATACTGCTGGCAGTAGTATTTACCAGCTGAAGCTTTGTACAGCGTGTCACCAATGGCATTATTAAGCAAGCAAAAATTAATTGTGTCTTTTCTGTATTTTCTACTGGGATTTTTCTTTTATTGTCAGTAGAGTGAGCTGCCATTTTGGCCAGGACGCTCAAGAGACTATCTTGGTATAATAAAGTGGCTGCGATCAATATTTTTATATTAACAATGGATAAAATAACTGTGTGTAATCTGAAAAGGGAACCCACAGAGTTATTATCCGTCTCTGCAGTTCTCCTCAGCTCTACAAATGATTTTTAATCTTTTAACTCACTGTTTTACAACCCGCAACTTTACAGTTTTGGTTTGCTCTCTTCAGTGTTGTTTACAGCTGCAGCAGGCCACTTTAGCAACACATTAGCAATTGGCTGGTGAAGACTGTAACATGGCCACTAAAGAGCAAGATATTTCCCTCAGGTGTTGGTGGAGAACAAAAACAGAGCTGAAAGGAGAGATTATTGGACTATGATGCATTAGGTTGACATTAATCAACCCAGTCAGCAGGAAAAATGTTGGCATTGTACGTTTCTGCAAACCTCAGATGCGTTGTATTTGGACATTATTATGTAGCGGATACGTAGTGACTTTACATTTTAACGTTGTTAACTTGTGGTTAGGTTTAGGTGCAAAAACCACTTGGTTAAGGTTAGGAAAAGGTCATGTGTTATACTCAGTTTACTCAGTTTTGGGGGCACTATTACCAATGGAAAGCAGCAGTCTTGGTAAAAAAAAAAAAAAACGCTTGCTTTCTGTGTCACTATCTCAGCAGGAAATGCAGTGATGTCTCTGTAAAAAAACAACCACTTCTAGTTGAACTATCCCCACCAGAAAAACAGTTACAGTTCACTAAAAAACACCCAGGTTTGGGGCTAAAATACTGCAGAAAACAGCAACAGGTCGCTGAAGAACACCCACATTTGGTGCCTAAAAAGCCGCTGGTAACATAGCGACAGGTCCTTAAAAAATACTTAAGTTTTGGGGGCTGAAATCTGCAGGAAACAGTGATAGGACACAATAAAAAATAAAAAAAAACACCCACATATGGTGCTGAAAAAGACGCTGTTAAAAAAGCTACGAGTCCTTAAAAAGAAATACGCTTGGTGCCTAAAAAGCCGATGGAAACTCAGCAATGATTTGATTTTTGTTGGTCTTGAGCAGCAGTCTACAGCTTGGCAAACATACACCACATCAATTTAGAAATGTTGATATGCATACAGAATATGCAAATATAACGTATTTGTGATTTGCAGAAACATACAATGGCAACATTTGCTTCTGGTGACGAGGCTGCATTTATCAATAAATTATAACACTGAGTTATTGCCCAATCCTAATTAATAGCGTATATTTTAATTACGCTAATCTAATTTTCATTTTCAAAGTGGAATTCCGGGAAGTACATTTCCTTTCATGAGAATTTGAAAAGAGATTTTTAAGCAGAAGCCTGACAGTTTAAAAGAATAAGAATCAATCCATTGTCCTGGAGGTAATGGATAATTCCTGCCTGCTGCTCTCATTGCTCCTGCATGAAGACAGAGCTGTGCGCCGCTGTGAACTTTATATAAAATACATGATGAATGTAGGGGGGATGAAAGACAATGTGTTTCAGATGTCATCTACAAAGGCAAACATGATAAATGTCATTGACTGTGCTATCATTGCACTGGAGCAGTTACAGTAGTAGGTGCAGCAGAATCAGTGTGTGCACGCGCAGGTGTATGTGTGTGTGTGTGTGTGTGTGTGTGTGTGTGTGTGTGTGTACAGTATGTGTGAACATCGCTATTCATGCCAGCCAAATAAATGTCAATGTAAAAAGAGAATTAAAGATTTTCATTTCCCAGCGGCGGCGCTCTAATAAACTTGATCTCTCATTTTGTTTGCAATTTGTCCTCCTGTCAGGATTTGATCATTTGCCAGCCTCTGCATGTCATGTTAAACCATTTTATAGTGATTAAGGATGGGAGAATGCCTTCCCCCGTGGTATAATTCTCCAAAAAGAGATGTCAATTTGTTATTGTTCTTTTTTTCCTGCCGTTCATTTGGAGCCTTTCATCGCACCATTGCTTCAAACGTGCCTTTTAAGAGGTGGGAGCAAGGGAAATGGCCCTTTATTTAGCTGCCACTGACACTGCCGAACTACACTGGGCTTTTGCTTATACACCCATTAAAGCAGTAATTAAGATCATTGTGCCCTGAACCTTAACAGTGAGGAGATCTAATAAACGATCATTCAGCGGGGGCTGCTGCTCTAATCGCTGATAAGGACTTGATAAAGCCTGACTCCGCTCCTCGGCGAGTTTTAGGGCTCTCAAGGGGGCCGAGCAGGCAGATTTCAACTTCGGAAAAAAGGCCCGATCTATACATGTTAATCACATGAGGCAGCCTGAGGAGTGAATACTGGCTGCAAAGCAAAATGTTCTTTTTATTTTAAAGCCAGTTTGTTTGTCATTCTCCCCAAAGTTACAGTAGATGAAACGTCGCAGAATTATCTACTTGAAGAAATCTTAGTAGTCTGTTTTAAAAAGCGGGATGTTTATGTTCTGTACTTCACGAAGGACAAAATCAATTAACATCCTGCGCAATAAGAAAGACCTCCTCTCTTTTCCCTTGGCATCTCACGCTGAAGTGTTTTCTTTCATGTCTCCCTGAAAGGATATTGGTTGGCGATGATCTTTTGCCTGTGGTTACGGTAATTACAGGCATATGTAGTTTTTTCTTTCTAACTCAATTGTGAACAAAGATGCTGGTTATGATAGGGAAACAGATTGAATGTCAACTTGCTTCTAACCTGTCGCGTTTTGCCAAGAAAGTGGTAACGTTTGTTTTCCTCTCCGAGGCTCCGAGTTTGGCTGAAACGCAAGAGGAAGCGTTCCAGAAGAAGACGACGTATTCTCGGGGAAGTTTCTCACATAAAGATGTACTTAAACTCTGAGTACTTCAGCTCATGGCTCTCAGCTTAATAGTCGTGTGTAATTCCCAGTCATTTAGCAGGATTTAAAATGACATATTAATTGTTTTGTAGATGATAAAGTGTGACAGGATCAAAGTTAATTTTAATGATGTGCCGACTATTTGATCTACCTGCTTTCTGTCAAAGCAACAATAGTGAGCTCTGGAACACAACCAAGTGGAGCATGTAATAATTTGAGAGTCAGAACAACCCTCCATATGCTCATTTTCCAATAAAGCTGAGGTCGTCTTATTTGCATGTACAGTCGCCTTTTTTTTAACAGGAGAGCATTTTCTCAGTCACTGTTGTGCTGTGAATTGGCATTGTTAAAAAGAATAGCCAATAATAAAGGACTTAATTGATACTCATTTCAAAGAGACGCCTGTTGAAAGAATTTCTTAAGTTTAATCACCACCATTCAAGAGTTGTAATGAGGGAATTATGAAGAGCGAATTAACAAAAGCACACAATTATAGCTTACTCAAAGGAAGTATTTGAATTCCTTCTAGGCTTTTCTCACAGTTTTTTTTTTCTCGCTGTTGCAGGTTACCTGTCAAAGCACAGCCATACTACACTCCCACATATCCAGCACCAATCTGCTGCTTCACTCATTTTGTCAAACCAAACTCTAGGAACAAGAATATGTTAGTGTGAAGAAGTACAGCAGAGTTGTATTGATTGAAAATAAATGTTGCCGATCTCATTACAGTGAAATGTGAAATGAGTTTCTGCAAAGTGATGTTTTTAGACCCTCTACAAGCCAGGAACAACAGAGTCTGAGTATTTTGGCAGGAATGTTTTTTTTTATTGCCATTTCCATGACAGATTTTTGCCAATGAGATCTTTGTTACAGGCAGCTGGGGATTTGTTGGACTGTAACCCGAGTTAACATGTCAGTCAAATTTAATAATTTGCATCAATGAGGTTATGTGAACTTTCCTCACAGCAGAGCACAAACTTTAACTTTGGCCGCGATGATAGAAGGAGGAGAAATATTGGACGTCTATCGTGCCATGCTTTTAGAAACCGTGTTTAAAAAGTTCTGTAAAGGCCATCAATAACAGAGAAATGTTGAAAAGTATGTCTCTTATGCCTAGTTCACACTACATGACTTTAGCCCTGATTTTCCACTCGCCGACAGTTTCTGGAGCGCCCTGACAAAAGCCCCAGATCAGAGGCGAATCGGTGTTGGCTATGCGCTTGCAAAGCAGCACTCAGGC